TTAAAATAGGAATTATTATAAAAATATAAAAAAAAGTAAAATTATTTACGAATAATTAAATATAAGAAATAATTCCAAGACCACTGATGATGGGTATTTGCGATACTTGAAAAAACTGCATGGTCAGCTGTATGGTTAATTAAAATAATATAAAAGCAATTTTTGTTGCTGTAGTTCACTACCTTTTGAAACCTCTCCAAAAATAAATAATTTCATTAAGAATTAGCTTGTTGAACGTAATAAATAAAATAATTAGACCATATTTAATTGCTAAATAAATCATTAATATTTTATATAAGAGTATTTTTATATGATAATTTAAATCATTATTATTTACTCTTGATCAGTTATAATTATTGTTATCAGAGTAAACGCAGGTTCACCTCGGACAATCTCGCTAAGAAGAAGAACACTGTTTATCCGCACTTTGATTAAAATCAAAAATTTATATGAGTGTAAGCACCGGTGCATTTTGGACAATCTATGGTATAAGGAGAATAATTTTAATCTGTATTTCAAAATCTATACTAATGCGACCACATTTCTGGTACTTTATTCAAATGAAAACCGCATACTTTGATAAAATAAGAGTACCCAATGTATTTAAACAGATTTATATCAACTACTTATGATTATCTAAATTTAACCTATTAGTAGAAAATATGTCTCTTATCTATTATCCTTTGTCTTCTTAAAATACTAAGTATTTTTAAAATTCTAACACTAATTAATAACCAAAAATATGAATATTTAAATACTACTACATTTCTAACTTAAGACTTCAAAGGTCATTCTACACATTTTCACTTAGTTTGACTTCTTACAGTTAAAACTCATCCATAATACCTAAAATCCATACAAAAGGGTTCACTGCTCATCAAAGTCAACCAAACTATCAAAAAAAAAAATTTTTTTTTTGCTAGATTAATGGTACTAATTTGTTCAATGCAGAACGGCACACAAATGAGAAGAGTGAATGAATGACACGCGTCATCAATAATAAGCGCCTTTCAACTACAACAACAAAAACAAAGAAACAAATATCATAATCATAATAATAATGGATATGATAATGAAATACACACACAACCTTAACACACACACGGCATCTATTTTTGATAATCAGTCATCCTTGTTGCGCTGATGTTCGAGTATCGCCACTGATTTATCTCTCTTTTGTTTTTGTTTTTTTGCTCCACTTCAACTTATTCTCAAGCTCACGCACACAATAGCTCGGCTAAGGTCCGCATGACTAATTTAGATTTTTAACTTTAAAGTTTATTCCATATCGAACGTACGGTGCGAGTGAATGAAGCCTTTACGTTGAAGTACCAAAACTCATATATCTAAAATTTCTAAAAAAAATATATTTTTGTGTTTTGAACAAAAAACATTTTGACAAAAAAATGGGTTTAAGAAATTAAAGAAAACAATTGACTTGCTCCAGTTTTTTCGGGCTTTCTTATGAAAAATAACTTAATTTTCTTACATTTTACGGTAACTTTAAAATATCCATTTGTTGCCATTGTTTTCCAAAAAAGCACTAATATATGCCAACATGATTAATTTCACTTAATTTAATTAATTGAACTTTCAAACGCAAATGTGGATGTCTTCTTCTTCATTTTGTGCTGTTAAAATAGATTTCTGACGTCTCTTTTAAGTTTCACCGCCTGCTCATGTTTCCTATTAATTTCGGTACTTCATAATTTGTAACTCATTTGAAAAATTCAACTACTACCATATAAGCCATAAGCCATTTGCTGATTGTAGGAGCAGACAAATTAAAATTAATAATTTATTTTCAATAATAATAAATTAATTTTCCTTTAGTCTTGAGTGTATTTTACGGCCTGAATATGGCCCTACATACTACTATAATATGTAGTAGATTGAGAATAATGTATATCACTGCAATCACCCTAAAGTAAACTATCACACTAACACCCCCGCGGAAAAGGAGTTAGAATGTTCCCAAGGTAAGGTATGCCAATCGTAATAGGCAGCTAAAATCCAGCAGGCTCCATTCAATACTGTTTATGTTATATATGATAGTTAAAGAGTTTTACTTACCGCAGACGACCAAAGGTGTGAGACAATTTCGGATGTCGTAACCTATCAAGATTGGCCCATTTAATAGGAATATCGTGATGGCTATGGTTTAAATCTAAATTAGAACGGTTAGAATGATTGTATTCAGTTACTTTTATTTAACGTGGAATTGCATTTTACAATCGTATGTTGTATCCTAAGGAACAGCAGAGGTGTTAGATGCTTTATACTCCCTTCCAAGTAGGAAACTACATATATACGTATGGCTTCAATTGATATCGACGGAATGCCTTAGAATTCAAATGGGGGTGTTTGTCGTTGAAATATATTGATACTTGTGTTAAGAGCGAAGTTAGATAGATAAGAACTAGAAGGTTTGGAGAGACTCAATCCTACCCGAATGAAACTACGAGTAGTACTCAAGATTACTATGCAGAGCCAGCGCATTTCAATACTACTTTATGGTCGACAAAATGATGGTGGCTGTCGATGATGTCTTTGTAGCTTTTTTCAAGAATTCACTACAGTGTGAATTTCTGGTATACACCTAAAAACCATAAATGTAATTAATACAATATAATTTGTTCATATTCTAATTTATTATAATTATTATAATATATCCTCGCCAGATCACTAAATGGTGGTTTATTCACCATTTACATTCAGTCTACATTCTGAGTCGTAAATGATCCTGACTAAGAGTGAAAGCAAAAGAGAAATAGTGTGGATAGGTAAGGGACGAGAAATTGAAGTTCTTATGATTTTTGAAGCAAGAAAGTGAGTAGTAGATTCTCTTGATGAATATCTAAAGTAAAATTATTATATTGATTGAAGTATGCCATATCAAGATAGAGTAAGTAATCGTCCTTGCATGTTTCTCTGGAAGGGTTAGAGATGAACGGGTTATAATAGTGTTTGCCGTCTATGCTTATATGTAATTATTTATTGTATAAATTCCTGAATTCTGTAGTATATGAGTATTTTTAGAGAAATATCTGGCTTTTTTAAATAATTATAAATAAGTAACATAATCACATTTGTTGCAAATTTGGAGAAAGGATTATATAGTCAGCATTTTCGTTAGTTTTAGATTAATTTTATGCTAATAAATTATTACAATTTCAACAATCGATTTGTAGATATAGTCTTTTCTATTAAAAACCTATGAAATAACATCACTTACATGTATGAATTATATGGTATAATTAATAATTTCAAGCTTAATTAAATCAAAAATACAGTAGCAAGAAAATCATAGATTTTAAGTTTCTTTAAATAATTGTATAGTTAGACCAAATAAATAAATTCCATACTCTACTCCTTTATTATTTTTATTATTCTTATGTTACATACACACATGCACACATATACTCAATTTATGAAGAATAAAACCCACACTACATGTCAAGCATAATTTTTCTACAGTGAATTAATTTTGTTGCTTTCTATGTATTGTGTCTTTAAAATAGTTTCATCCTCGTTCGTTTCATTCATAGCTGCTTAAATATTTGCAAATTTGTTGTTGTTTTTGCTGTTGTTTTTGTTATCGTTCCAGAGCATATGCCGTTCGTTGTGTGTATATTTGTGTTTATATTCGCTCAGTACCTGTGCCTGTGCCTGCGGCTGAGGTTTTGTGGTTAGTTGGTCTATGGCTTTACATTTTTTGTGGGTGTTTAAACTTTTGTTGTTATTGCATTTTGTTGGTTGGCATCAAACAAACCATACGAAACCAAAAAACCCAACCCCAAAAATTTTAATTCACTCGTTTTATAGGCACAAACAAACAAACAAGCAAACAAACTTTTGGTCATCAACATTTAAACGAAGCTACCGCGCAAAAGTGGGCTTGGCCAAATATACTTTGTCTGTTTATTGATGCTACCCACTACCACAAAGTGGAAGGCAGATATTTATGTATAAACATAGCGGTACATATAAGTGTATATATATGTATATGTATACCGGTGTGGAAAGGTGTATGCAAGTATAGCAATGACTGTTAGCTGCTTTAACGATTGCCGTCGTTTAAAAAGTGATAAAGTGCAAGCAAAGGTGGACTCGTCAATTGTTTGTAAATTTGGTCCAGTAAATTTGAATTGTTTTTTTCTTCTCATATTTATTTATTTATTTATATTTTTTAATTTTTATTAAATGGACTTGAGTTTTATTGTTGTTGTGGGTTAATTTGTCTCGTTTGTTTATGCTCGTAAACGGTTTTGCGGTTTTATTATTTGTAAATAGTAGTAAAAATATTTTAACCGAAAACAGTAAATAATTCATAGTCCTTATGGGCAATAACAATAAAGTAGCAGAGTGACAATGGCAGTTTTAGTTGAAGAAGAGTTTATTATTTTTTTTTTTATTTAACAAAAAAACTTTTTTTAAGGATTTAAGTCATAAAAGTTTAAATCTCTTCCTCCATTGACCCACTAAAGCAATGTGAAGTTCATAAATATTATATTTAGCAATATTTTGTAGGTTTTCAATTATCCTGCTGTCACTGACAACACTATTACTCGGCAAATCCTTAGAGTTATGGTGCAACAAAATTGATTTTAACACTTAACTGCCAAAAAACGAGCAGAAGCGCAAAAGACCGTCTTCAACGAAGACCGCCAACAGTTCTGGCGCGTGTAATGATCACTTTAAATTAATTCGTGTGCCACTAAAATATTTTGGAAAATTTAAAATTAAAGCAAAAATTAAAAAAAATATATTTTTTAAAAAATCATAACACTTTTTTTTCTCTCGTTCCTTGCCTCAGTTCAATATTAACGCGTATAAATCAATCTTAGCCGCTGCGCTGACAAGTTGCCTTATTGCCATATTGCCTAAAATTTATGTCAACATTTTTTTTACACTTCAAACTCATAAAAAAGTCGTAACTTTTCATTTCATATTTTTAATGACTAATTTTTATTTTCTTTTTTCATCTCTTTTACAGGCAAAAGTTTTACTCTAACAATCACCGTTGCAACAAGTCCGCCACAGGTGGCTACCTATGCCAAAGCCATCAAAGTCACCGTTGATGGACCGAGGGAGCCACGTTCTAAGACAAGTAAGTTGATCGCTATTAAACAGCGTTCTGCTACGGTTTCGGGTACAGGTAATTTTACACATAACACATCCTTACGCCGTAAATCCAGTTTAGCTTTTGGTGATACACAATGTTCTGAACTATCTTCATCGGCATCACCTTCTTCGCAGCCTGCACTGTCCTATACTTCAACATATGATAGTTATAATTCCACCACAACTATTAGTGAGGACGATGGTAAACAGTTTAGTGAAGATTCAGGCAGGGTTAGCAGCTCCTACAACATTAGTGACACTATTAATGGTGAGACCTCTAAGCAAATTTGTTGCGAACACATCCTAAAAACGCTAATCATCAATACCACCAATAACGCCGACTGTAGATATTTTCATACTCATTATAAAATAAATTTAATTTACTTAGAAATAATTTTTAGATACAACAAACATGAAGAATAGTATTTTTAAAATGAACAGTTTAGTATTTAACAATATTGAAGGATCTTGAACAGTGGCTGTTAACATTTTTTAATAAACTTAAAACTTTTAATAAACGCTGCCTTTAAATCAAAGAAAGTAAATAGTACCCTGACTAAAGGATCTATTTGTTTTCTCAGTCCATCTTTAAGAATACCAAAATCGTAATCACCTATAGATCCCATAGGCCTAAGAATTCGAAATAAAATTAAACTGTTGACGCTTTAGAAATTGTTTTCTAAAGCAATACTAAAGAGTACTTCCTCCATAAAATACTAAGCTCCATTAATCGGTTTCAGAGAAAATCTCACCATTTTATTTTGTGTGTATTTCTATATACACAAACCATACTATACGTATAAACCATACTGCCAGTTACTTCAGAGCGATGTTATTTTGAAATCTACAGAAATCATCAGCGGACTAATGGAGTTCATAAATTTATTTAAGTATTTTTAATCCCGTAATTGTAAGGTGCCATCATGATTGTACACACTTTATGTTAGTAATCTGTTAATAAAATATATTAAAGGTTCTTGCTTTTTAGAGCTAATTTTGAAATATAAGACTGACTCAATGCTCAATGATGCCTTCAGATCAACTACGTCAAGTTTTTATGAATACTGAGAATGATTACATTTAAGAACATTACATGTTCATATATTGTTATCGTAAAGTGAGAATTTTATTAATAAACTTCAATAATAAGTTGCTATATTGTATTATGCTATAAATGATTAAAATTGTCTATCATCCAAAATAACATATGTCAAAAATTAAATCATGAAATTTTGACAGTTAAAGCTGTTAATATTTTGAGTTCTGGAGGGTCATTTTGATAACCCTTCATTTTATTTGCCATGCAACTGCTTCATAATAGCTCTAATGTCAAAGGGTTAAAATAATTCTTCCTACTCCAACTAAATTTTTGGAATTTTATATCAAAATTAGTTTTTATAACGTACTAAAGGAAAAACTGAATAAAAGTTATTATATTTAATCTGTTGTCCAGTAAGGATGTGGATTATCAAAAAGGGTTAAAGAAACTGGATTTTTTCAACTTATTCTATTATTATAATGTAAAAAAATGTTTAGTTAAAAAAATGTTTTAGCTACTTTTTAACTTTGAGATAAAGTTATTTCTAACGTATTGATAATAGTAAAGTCGAACGATAAACCTTTTCTATATCCTTACGACTTCAAAATAAATCTTTAATAAATCTATAATGATTTATATTGATATACTAATTTTTCAGCAGATTGGTAGCCTAGGCAACCTCTTAATATTATGGACACCTTATATTATGGACACCTAGAAAAAGGTCTGGGAATCCGATTGATACAAAATCGAACATGCTTTCAAAAAATATGATATAAAAAATTATATTAAATTTCGAGCTCCTTATATAAATATTGCTTTAAATTTAAATTTAAAATTATTAAACTTAGAACGATTTTAATGCTTTACAAAGGTTTTATAGTCTTAATATAAAACTCCTATGAAACGAAAACTAAATCCTAATACCACAAGTAACGCCTTATTAAATACGGAAATGTCCTTAAAACTTACTTGCACTAGTTTTTTAATTATTCATTAAACAGAAAAAAAAATAATAATAGAAAATAGTTCAGCAAAAAAGGCACTTAAAAATAATCGCATTTACACTTAAAATTACAAAAAACCAAAGAAAAGATACTTTCCAATGTCCTGCTGTGTTCCCATTGCGGCTCATTGTTACTCTGTCCGATTGTTTGGAAACATTTGGCGTAAAGGTAAAAGAATACCGTAAAACATGTGGTTGGATGGTCGGTCACACTTGCGATTTTTTCACCTACATAAACCGAAGACATGGAATGAAAACCGCACAAACCGAGTAGGCATAATTACTATTTACGCAACATTATTAAATAATAATAATGAACAAAAATAAAAAAATATATAACTAAAAATATCTCAAGTATAAAAAAAAGGAAAAGTTAATCCCTCAAACAGAAGACGCAAGGATATACGTCAAAATATTATTAGATTGACTTGATAATGAGGCAAGCAATTGGTTACCCTCTCTTTGAAATTGCCTCAATATTTTCTTTCACTATCTAAAGTGTATATATATACATATATATGTAATAAAGAAATGATGTAGTTTTTCTAGACATATTTTTACATATATACAAACATGTTGGGTTAGTATGTCAGTAAAGGACAGGAGTGAGTTCATAACTACTTTTGCAGTTAATCAGAAACCAATAAAGAATGCATTACCTCCTTCTTCTGTTGCTACTACACATTTTAAAAATGTAAACTTGCGGTTTTCTGGAAAAATTAAAAATAAAAAACTAACTTACGTACATTCATACATACATGAACTCATACATACATACATACATTGCATTTTTATGTCTTCGACTAGCTGGCTTACCTTGAAATTATGTTAATTTCACTGCAATCATTACAGCTGCATTAACTGTTTTTATATATAAAAAAAGTGAAAAAAGAAATATATATGAAAAGTAAAGAAATATATATGAAAAGTATCTTATAAATACACAAAATGGCGTATAACACTTTTTGAAACATTTCAAAGATACCGTTAACTCATTTATATCACAAATTGCTTGACTTTTTAAAATACAACAATACTCAACTTAAATAATTTTATTAAATTTTATTTATTACTATTTTTAGGTCCTCCCGGCACTCATCAATTTCGAGGTTTGAGCTTGGGCTTTCCAAATAATTTTCGTGAATTCGATCCATTACGCACACCAAAGGCTCCGACAGCTTCCAGTACGAGGTTATCGCAATTAAGCAGCAATCACTCATCGTCGAATAGTACAATAAATGCTGATTACCAAGACTATAAACCAAATGCACCGCAGATACAAGGTAAATTACTACACTAAATCGTCCAACACACTACAAAACTAGATCGTCTTCAATTATTCTTCCACGTTTCTTCTCTATTCTCTGTAGGCTTTCTGCTCATTAAAAGTTTAATAACTTCTTTTTTGTTAATAAAGTTGTTAACATTTAAATGGGAGTATTGTATTCGATTATAGTCATTTATTGTTTCAATCGAGAATTTCTATAAGTCGAAATTAGTAGTTACTCCTTCTATGAAATGAAGTCATTTGTACCGGCACACGCTATTTTTTTTTTAATGGATTTCTACTATTATTGTGGTACATTTTTTATATATAATTTTTTTTAAATGTAAGAAGAATAACTTTTCAAAAAATACAACAGAAACTTTATAAAATTTTTTAATGAAATGGTAAAAAAGAAGTAGAAAAATATTTCAATTGAAGGAGGGAGGATGTCAAGGAAAAAGAAATATATGTTTCCTTTATGTAAACTTGAGGTGTAATTATTTAAATTTAAATTTGAATTTTACTAAACTTACAGTTTACTTTCCTAACTGGCCATAACAAACCGCTGATGGGACTCTGTTACCACAAAACTTCTCTCAAGTCAATCTTCTTTCATATTCATACTTTCCAGTTCTTATATCAAAAGTAGTTAGTGCATCCTAAATTTGATGAATCCATTATTTCTTACTTTTTCGAAAAAGGAATAGCAGAGCATTTACCATTTAGTATACCAGCTCTCAATATTGCTTTATCTTACTGCCTCAAAACTGAATAATCATTGAAAGGTTACACAGGTGTTCATTAATCGACTAATTTAAAGCATTTACTGGTCTATTGTCGTATGGTTTATCATCCTTATCTCTATTTTGAAGAAATACATTATTCTTTAAAAAATCTTGTCAGAATTCAATATTCGAGTGTCGTCTATCATCAACGTACTTAGGACACCGTTTATCTACCTTCTTCCTTTTTTTTTTTCAAAATCACTTTAACTGTTTAAAAAATGTTTTGATATGGTTACAGTAGAATTCTTTTACTTATTTCTTATTTCTAAAATATATCAACCCATTACACTTTATTATATAGTGTCAAAATTCTTCATATTAGCTATTAGTGAGCTATTAGTAACCCACTTAGGTCATTTACTATACCATTTTGATACCATTTGCAATAAAACTTTCTTCCCTACTCCCTATTTAAAAAAACATCTTAATGTTGTCAAAATTTATTCTAGTTCTATTAACTATCACCACTCCACTTAAGTCGTTTATTGAGACATTTTGATACTGTTTATAGTAGAGCTGTCTTCTTAATGCCTTACTTCCTGACCTCTTTAAAGAATGTTGTCAAAATTTACAGTATATCTTCTTTTCTTATTCCTTATTTTAATAACCACCAAATTCTTTAAAAAATGGCTAAACTCATCACGTAACTATCATCTAACCATTTAAGCCATTAAATTGGTCATTGAGATATTATTTCCCATTTTGAAAACCTCTCTAATTTTTTAATGAATATTGTTAACTTTCCGATTTTCGAGACTATATAGTCTTGATACATGTATTTGTGTAGTACCGCAAGAATATGATTTTATGCGCATATCAATACGCACAGTATCTTGTTTTGATAATATTTTTATTGTTTTTTTTTAGTCAACTTTAGTTAGTTAGTTAGTTATGGTGAAGGTATACACACTAAGAAAGCCGTTTTGAGTCCACAAATCCTTTTAATAATGGGTTGTGTAGAGAAAATCTAGGTAGAAACCAGCCAGAGGCATTTTTAAAGACTAGAATCTGGGCAATACCAATGCTAGAGATGTTCTGGTGTCCTTGTTTTGAGAAATTCAAATGTGGGAGTACCGCAAGATTATGATTTTCTAGTGACAGACATGAGTGCAGAATTATATTCGAATTTTTTTATGTTTATTGATAGCAGACGTTTAATTTCTTCTTCTTACCATCGCAGGTCCTATAAAAGTCTAGACCCAAAAATTTACACTTTTGATAGAGATATTGCTTAAAAAGAGTCCCATTGTAACTCCTATCAGTCTAGAGACGGAAGTCTTATATCTACAGTATAAATAGTATCAATGCCATTCATTCGTTATGGATCAGTTCTATCTAACGTTCTTCCAAATTGTTTTTTTTTCCTATCTCGTTGACTTAATTTTTTAGTTAATAACTTAATTTTTCACTTAGGAGCAGCTTTGAAGTCATTTTAGTTATGCTACTCATGGATTAATGAATGGTTAACTAATACAGGTAGAAAATAAACAAGATTAATTTATTTGATAGTATTGTAAACAGCGTGTCTTAGTTATAAATTTCAAATTACTTAATAAATTAACACTTTAAATTAAACTGCCCACAAAATATTTGAAGCATTATTAATATATATATATATTAATAAATAATTAAAGATTATCAAAAACCAAAAAAAAAGAAAAAAACACCGTGACAAATGAAAATAATTAACTGACTTGATTGCTATGATTCACACGCATTTTAAAAGAAATTTAAATTTAATTTAAATAAAAATTATAAACAATAAACTATTTATGTTAATTAACACATCAAATACAAACAATATTCGAAAATATATTTTAAATCTTATCAAAATCTTACACACTAAATGACGAAAAAAAATTGCTTGAAGCTTGCATGTGTGAACACTTAGTCGCCGATCTGCTAATAAAATGACACATCTTTACGAATTATTAACGAAAAAGTATAAATCCGTATTTTTAATACTATTTGAGCGACCGGAAATGCCAGTGGCATCTGAAACTGTAGCGTTTATTCACTCGTAGCTGCGCTAATGAAGTGGCGCTTAAAGCAGCTCAGCAAACGCCTCCAAAGTTTCGGACAAGTTCAGCTTAAAAGCCGGCGAATTTCTCGGAAATTTGATCAAAATATTTTTTGATTCAAAATATTGGTCAGAAAATTATCTTACCAAATTTGGTTAACAACATTTTATCTAGTAGAAATAGCTTAGCCATTAATATTTTTGCTAGTTTTTTTTCTGGAAAAACTTCAAAAATAACTTAAAATTAAAATTGTTTAATCTTATTTGCATAATTAATCATAAACTAGTATTTTAAAAGATTGATTGAGCTTTAAGTCTCTTCTTTGATTTATAAATTTCTTCTCTAATAAATTTGACTTGAAACATGGTTTTCAGATCCTTATTCTGCAAAACGATTCCCAAATAATATTTTGATACCTTTCTAAAGGTCAATTAATTTTGAAAAGTTCTAAGCTAAACTTAAAATCCAGTAAATATAGGAATAGTGTTCCGAAGTTTTACTTTTTCCTTACACAGAGAGACACTTCAGAATTTATTCTCAATACTTTAATTTTAAATGTTGTGGTTTTTGGCTAGGAAATGTATTTATTTTCAAAGATATGGACTTAAACTAGTTTTCATTATTTGGTATAGACTTAGTAGCAATAAAAAATAAATAAAAATTAAAAGAATGTTAGTAATTCCCCTACTAATACTTCCTACTTCTTTCCCCTAAGGTCTTCTTATATGTATGATATGAAAGGACTCGGTCCATACAAGTACCACATCGAATTATCGAGTTCAAGGTCTCATAGGTTTAGTTAAGAAACTGAGCGACTAAGTGGCACGCCAAGTATACTAAGTAACATAGGATATAAAAGGATTGGATCATAGGATCCACTAAATATGACTATATGAATTGCATTCCATAACATAAATTATCTCAGGGAACAGAGTATATTGAAATTTGAATCTGAAAAAAACACACTTTTATCTTAACAAAAAGTGGTCTCAACTTCGCTATCCAGATTTACATACCATGTTATTTGCCAAAGTTCTAAAAGGCTTAGATATTTACAAAGGTCTTCTATATTTTAAGCTAAACTAGTTATTCATTAAGTTGTTAATAAAATTATCAATTTTGTTTCTAATTCAGTCTATTTATCACAAGAAAAACTATCTATCAAAACCGCTTTCTATCAACACGCGTACTATATTGTTTTGATGATATGTTAATAAGCCGCTTTAAAACCACACATCCTCATTATAATGGGTAGTAAAGAGAAGCTCAAGCTAGAAACCAGCCAAAGGCATTTATAAAGAAATCTGGACAATGCTAATGCTAGAGATATCACCGAGTGTGTTGAAGAAAGGGACCCCCAGAAACTTAAGCTTAGTTCTGGCCAACCCTGGACATAGACATAGCTGATGTTATGATGTTGTTTCTTTCTATGTCCTGGCCAACCCTGGACATAGACATAGCTGGTGTTATAATGTTGTTTCTTTGAGAGCTGGTAGACACGCATTCCCACAGGGTAAGCCTAGTTCCATGCCATCTTATAGTCCAGTACCCTGTCGACTGTAGACATTTCTAAAATGTGAAATGTTCATTACGTTGTTCTTAAATTATTTTAATTAATTTTTTTGTTATTGTAATATGACAATATAATTTATATATTGTAATATATAGCTATTGTAGAAAATTTACTTTTGTTTTAATTATAAAAAACCGTTTTTGATATTTTGAAAGGTTTCTGATCAAAAAATATTATAACAAATTGCACAACTTAATTAGTGTAATTATCAGTATAGTATAATACTGGTCCCGAAAACCTTAAGAATATTTTTTCATATATTTCTGCCGTTAATAATGGATTTTGTGATGTCAATCACTACAAAGTCCTCAATGAAGTGGATTTCTTTCTTCCATGATCCCAAAGGTTTTTATGTAGTGACAGAAGCAACTCATAATTATGAGAAAGAGTCAATAAAATATACATTTTAATTCATTTAGTTTGAATTTCTGGAAAAAGATCCTCATATCTGCGATCAAGAGAAAAAAACTTTATTAAAATTAAAATTGCACTACATTTTTATTTATTTTTTAGTTGAAATGCGTAAAGCCGCAAATCAATCCGAATGCGGTTTTACAGATGTTGGATTTCATAAACCCGTACTTCATAAACCCGTACTGAATTAAGTAAACATTGAAGTACCGCTACTTGCAACAAC